TAGTAGTAGTTGTAGTAGTAGCTAGTAGTAGTTGCAGTAGTAGCAGTAGTAGTTAGTAGTAGTAGTAGTAGAGTAGTCGTTCGTCGTCGTCGTCGTAGTTAGTTGTAGTTGTAGTAGTAGAGTAAGTTTAGTAGTAGTTATAGTAGTAGTAGTAGTAGTAGTAGTAGTAGCTAGTAGTAGTAGTAGTAGTAGTAGTAGTCGTTAGTACTAGGGGTAGCCATAGCCGCCATGTTGTCGTAGTAGTAGTAGTAATAAAATAGTAGTGTAGTAGTTGTAGTAGTAAGTAGTAGTCGTAGTAGTAGTTAGTAGTCGTCTTTAGTAGTAGTAGTAGTTAGTAGTAGTAGTAGTAGTAGTTGTAGTAGTAGTAGTAGTAGCAGTAGCAGTCGGACTACGACTGGGACTGGTACTAGTAGTCGTATGAGTAGTAGTCGTAGCCGTAGTACTAGCCGTAGTAGCAGTAGTAGTAGTAGTTGTTGTTGTCGTAGTAGTAGTAGTAGTAGTAGTCGGAGTAGTAGTAGTGTAGTAGTAGTAGTAGTAGTAGTAGTAATAGTAGTAGTAGTAGTAGTAGTCGTAGTAGTCGTAGTCGTAGTCGTAGTCGTAGTCGTAGTCGTAGTAGTAGTAGTAGTAGTAGTAGTAGTAGTAGTCGTCGTCGTCGTCGTCGTCGTCGTCGTCGTCGTCGTCGTCGTCGTCGTCGTCGTCGTCGTCGTCTTCGTCGTCGTCGTCGTTGTTGTCGTCGTCGTCCCAGTCGGACTCAGTTTGCGTAGCGTCAAAGGGGAGGAGTCGTAATAGTGAGGACCATGCTGATGAGGCGAAGGAGGCGGACCGAATCGGAATACGGAAGCGGAGGGTCGAGGAACAGCAGGGGGAGGAGGCGGCGGGGATGCAGGAGGTGGAGGATGAGGATCGAGGAGGAAGAGGAGGATCGAAGAGGTGGAGCGGGAGGATCGAGGATGGTCAAGAAGGAGGAGGAGGAATGACGAGGATGCTAATGAGAACAAGGATGATGATGAAAATGGTGGCGGGGGATCGAGGAGGAGGGCGCCTTTTTCTGTTCCTTCCCACCTGCTCGGACATCCTCCCTCCGTCCCGCCCCCCTGGACAGGCCAGCACGAAGGCGGAGACCAAGGCGGAAAAGGCCTTTTCCGCCGATTGGTCTCCCTGTGTCCCCCCCCCCCCCCTCAACTCCCCAGCTTTCCCTTCCCTTCCCCCCTTTCCTCTCCTCGCCTTCTCCTTCCCCCCCCTCTCTCCCTTTCCACCTCACCCATCCTCCTCCTCCTCCTCCTCCTTCATCCGCCTCCTCCTCCTCCTCCTCCTTGAAGCATGTGGTTCTCGCTCTAGCGCCGCGCATTTTCCGCCTGAACATTGGCGACAGTTTCGTGGGTTCGTCTAGTTGAAGCTCAGGGATGGGGTTCGGGCGCTGCTGAGAAGCGCCAGGAGATCATAGTCACGCTCGTCCGTTGTGTTGAAGTCCCGTACATGCCGTTCGGGCACGATTCAGGATTGCCAGGACGCCACTGTCACGTTGATTCGCCGCGCTGGAATCGCAGACATTGCGTTCTGGCGCGATTAAGGGTTCTAAACTGGTTGTCTTCCAATGAGGCACTTCCCGCAATAAACATAGGTTCTTGTAGGCATTTCTGAGGGAGCCTGGACGGATGGTGTTTTGCAACGTCGTTGATGCAATTTGGGTTTGCACTAGTTCTCCTCCTCATCTTCTTTTTTTCTTTCGAGCAGTGGGCTGATCACATGAGCCGCCCCCCCCCCCAGAATCTTATTTTAGACGTCCGCGCAATAACACCAGCCCATCCAGACGCGATGCCCGGGCGAGTTGCCCTGATCAGGCAGGTGGGGGAGCGCACAGTGGAATAATGGCTGGGAGCCGTCGTACTCCAAGAGGGGGAGTACAGAAGAGGACTCAGAGGATGAGGAGGAAGAGGAGGTGGAGGAAGAGGGGGAGGAGGAGGTGGAGGAGGAAGAGGGGGAGGAGAAGGAGGAGGAGAAGGGGGAATCACAAGCTAGGTGCGCTCGCGTCATATCTGACGTCCTACCCCTCCCTCCCATCCTCTACCATGCCGTACGTCTCTTCTCTATCCGCACAGTCGGATGCTGTAGCAGGGCATATCAGTACATGTCATAGCATGGTGGCGAAGATCAATGCGTAGCCTGACATCGCATGGCGTGGCGACGTCCCAAAGTGGGGAGGGGCTTCCGCGGCCCGAGAAATCAACGAATCGGCACCGAATGTGGAATCGCTTCCGATGGTTTTTTCGGGGGCCATTTCTAGATTTTGGTGTCTACTTGCAAAGACCGAAAACCATGCCGTGGCATGGCGTTGGAAATAATGACGCCAGCGCCGCAGTGTGAGCACGATTTGAAACGAGCGGAAGCGCGGAAATGAGGCCAGCGCTGCAGCGGGAACACGATTCGGAGGACGCGTCGCCTGACACAGCATGGCGTGGCGACGCCCCAACGTGGGGATGTGGTGGGGGGGGGGTACTGGGACCTATTAATCAACGAATCGGCACAGAACGACTTCCGATGGTTGTTTCGGGGGGTGGCATTTTCTAGATGTTGGTGCCTACTTGGAAGGACCGGAAACCATGCAGTGGCATGGCGCTGGAAATCATGACGCGAGCGCTGCCGCGGGAGTAGGATTCGGAACGAGCGGGAGCGCGGAAATGAGGCCGCCGCTGCAGCGGGAGCACGACCCAGAACGAGCCGTAGCCTGAAAATGAGGCCAGTGCTTCAGCGAGAGTAGCAGTTTGAACAAAAAACAAAGCGAAGACACGTTTCCCAGGAATTTTGTGTGCAAAAAACAAGTGCGCCGATGGGGGCTGTACATATCCGGGATGTCACCAGGGGAGCGAGGAGAGCAGTATTCATGTTGTGTTGTTCTGGGGGGTCAGGCGGATGAGGACGAGAAGGAAGAGAAGGAGGAGGAAGAACAGGAGGAGGAGGAGGAAAAGGAGGAGGAGGAGGAGTAGGAGGATGATGAGGAAAAGGAGGAGCGCGAGCAGGAAGGCCAGAGGCCTCTTGGATGTTTCTCGGGGTCTTTTTGGATGTCTTTCGAGAGTTTCTTGCAGGCCTGTTGGGGCGTCATGGGGGCCTCTTGGCTGCCCCCGGGGGGCATCTTAAATTATCTTGGGTGCCGATTGGGGTCTCTTGGGGGTCTCTGCCTCTTGTGGGCATCTTGTTTTTTGTTGGTTCCTTGTGGGTGCCTCCTGGGACCCTCCTGAGGCACACTCGGGAGCCTCGGGGGCCATCCAGGGGCCATCTCGGAGGAGATCGATCAATGAATGGGGGTAGTACACCGTCGCCCCCCAGGAGGCCCAAATGGTTCAACAACCTTAATATCAATGACTTTGAGGGTAGGTGGAAGGTCAAAGCTCTCAAGGATCTGTGCTCGCAGATCGTTGTAGTCGGAGACACCGAAGGCGTGGCAAAGTATCAGGAGCTGCTAGCCAAGGAGGAACTAGAGGTCGCCAGCCAACGCCAAACGCCACCGCTGCAGCAGCCGGTCAACCGAGCCGTCCACGACATGCGTACGCTGGAGGCAAGGTTGTCCAAGGCCGTGGGCGCTTACGCGGCCACCTCCACTCAGCTCCAGGAGCAGCGGGTCCGCGTCATGACTTTCGGGCGAGCTGCACGAGACGGAACGGACACTCAATCAGTTAGTGGAACAACTTCATATGCGGATTGCTAAAAGCCGCAGCACGTGCAACCTGATTTGCCAATCGAAGCGATTTTGGCGGGTGAGGAGATGAATGCTACTTTCGCGTCCACTGACGCGTTGTCGTAGGATCTCACGGACACCGACAAGAAGGACTTTGAGGATCGTCGGGGCTGTGTGCAGGGCGATCTTAAGCAACCAGTCAAGCCGACGTTTGAAGATGCCATGGAGAAGCTCAAACAGCTGGGGTTCCACCAGACGACTGAGATCGCCAGGCTTGCTAGCAAAAAGGCGTAACTGCGAAGATGGACGAGATACGGCAGGGGACGATTCGGCGTCTTCCCCTGCTGCCTCTACTGCTTCGAGTGGTGCTGCAGTTCCTCCAGCCGCTGGGATACTTGAAGGCGCGTCGACGGCAGCAGCGGCGGCGGCGGCATCAACTGGGCGGAGTGGTTTGCGTGAGCGTGCTGCAGTCATTGCCAGTCAGGCGCGTTCGGCACCTGGCCCTGTTGCTCCTGCTGGTGTGGTTCCACCCGTTGGGGAAGATGGCGCCGCCATGGAGTCAGATCTCTAACGCCTGTGAGTCGCACGCTGTGTATCCACCCAGGGCAACATCCACGGAATCCGACTTTTCTCCCGTCTCCACCCTGCGCCCGATGCGTTATCGAACAAATCTTGGTCAGATTTTTTTGGATTGTCGCGGGCGAGAGTTGGCCTTGGGGTTCCAGGGTGCCACCAGTCCCGCGAGCTGCGTTTTTGTTTGTTGGGTTTGTTTTCCGTTTCACAATATGTATATATATGTATGTATATACGAAAGAGCGTGTTCTACCGCTGCTGGCGGAAAACCGGGGGGGGTCACTACCGGTTCGAACCCCTCCCCCCCCCCTCCCCCCCCCTCCGGAAAACCGGGGGGGGTCACTACCGGTTCGAACCCCTCCCCCCCCCCCAGTTCATCATGAAAAGGGGGGCGGGGGCACTACCGGTTCAAAACCCCCCCCCCTCGAAAACCGGGGGGGGTCACTACCGGTTCGAACCCCCCCCCCCCTCGAAAACCGAGTGGGGGTGCGGACAGTGGTGGGGAGGGTGTTGGTGGGGACAGTGGCGAGGGGACAGCGGGACAGTGGTGGGGACAGTGGGGGGACAGTGGGACAGTGGTGGGGACGGTAGTGGTGGGGACAGTGGTGGGGACAATGGTGGGAACAGGGGGGACAGTGGACTGTGGTGGGGACGGTGGTGGTGGGGACAGTGGTGTGGGGACAGTGGGAATGAGGTGGAAACAGTGGGACAGTGGAGGGTACAATGGTGGTGGGGACAGTGGTGAAGGCGGTGGCGAGGACGGCGGTGGGACAATGGGACAGAGGTACCGTGGGGACAGTGGTGGGGACAGTTGGGACAGTGGTGGGAATAGTGGGACAGCTCAGTGGGACAGCGGAGGAGTCAGTGGGACAGTGGGGACAGTGGGGATAGGCAGTGGTTGGGTCCGTGGAGACAGTGGGGAGAGTGGAACCGTGGTGGGAACAGTGGTGGGAACAGTGGGGACAGTGCGACAGTGGTGGGGGCACTGGTGGGGACAGTGGGGACGGTGGTGGAACCAGTGGGGACAGTGGTGGTGAGGACAGTGGTGCTGGGAACAACAGTGGGGGATGTGATGCGAGCGGTGGTAGGGACCGGGAGTCGTTTGCTGGCGGTGCGTGGGGAGGGGGGTCGAACCGGTAGTGACCCCCCTCCGGTTTTCGAGGGGGGGGGGTTCGACCCGGTAGTGACCACCCCCCCGGTTTTCCAGATCCGGAGGGGGGGGGGGCGGAGGGGTTCGAACCGGTGTAGTGACCCCCCCCCGGTTTTCGAGGGGGAGGGGGTTGCGGGGGGGGAGGGGGTTAGGGGGAGGGGAGAGTTTTTTTCCGGGGGGAGGGGGGGGGGAGGGGGGAGGGGGGGGGATTTTCGGCGGGGGGTGTGGGGGGGGGCGAACCCCTGGGTTCCGGAGGAAAAGGCTGGCAATTTTCCATAGTAAAGCGGCGGTGGATCACGCTCTCTCGTATATGCACATACGTACGTACATACTTACATACATACATACATACATACATACATACATGCATACACGCATGCATGCATGCATGCATGCATGCATGCATGCATACATACTTACTTACATACATACACACATACATACATACATACATACATACATACATACATACATACATACATACATACATACATACATACATACATACATAAATGCATACATACATACATACATACATACATACATACATACATACATACATACACATACATACATACATACATACATACAATACAATACAATACACTGCAATGCAATACAATACAATACAATGCAATCCAATCCAATTCAATCCAATCCAATCCAATCCAATCCAATCCAATCCAATCCAATCCAATCCATACATACATGCATACATACATACATACATACATACATACATGTATGTATA